ATAAAGAATTGCTCTTTATTGCATCATTTTCCTTTTCAGCAAAGATAGGAAATAAGAATCTTCAGGAACAGTGCTGACCTTTTGGTCTGAGACTGCTTTAGATCCAACTGACAGTGTAGCTAATGCCCCTTATACACACCACCTTTCTGATTTATACCAGCATTTCAGCTATTCCAACAGAAATTCTTCTTCTGCCTTTCTGGAATTAGGTGTACACATACACACACACCTCCCAGATGCCCAAACATACAGGTGAGCTATGCTTACAGAGCTGGACTTGCAACTGGGCATGTTTTGGTCATCCAAAGTAACACAAAACAGCAAGACAGCTCCTGCAACCCTAGTCCACGCTTCACAGGTTCATAGAAGCCTTCATATAGCTTCTAGTCAGATCTTCATCTGAGGTCTTTCTTCCTCTCTGTGCCTGGCTGGGTTCCATGTGGGAAGGCATTTTCCCTCTGCTGTCTTTCTGAAGTACTGATAGCAAGTCACTGTTGGGACTTGCCTGGCTGTGAAGGCGAGCATGTGGACCAACTCCAAAGCCCCTGAAGACTACAAAGACAGGAGATTCTTGTGAAGTATGCCCAGTTTAATGACTGTTTCTCAAGTCTGATATGCCCTCTACAGTCCTGACATGCTACTTAGCATACAGCTGGTATGGGGTTTTACTGTACTTCCAGTGGCAGCCATAAAGAGACCCTCACAGCCCTGCACAGGAAGGGGACATGGTCATGCCAACCATATGAAAAGAAAGGTGCTGAGGCGTTCTGTAGCATACATTTTATTGCAAACTGTAAAAGTGATCCCCTTTGCGTCTGTTAATAAAGGCAGACCCATTTGCAGTCTTCTTTCAATGTAATCTGTCCCATGGATTAGCCGAGGCCCTGCATATGCCACCTCATGAACAAGTGATATATATTACAAATAGTTGGGCCCTGAGGTTTTTTAGGACTCTGCTGGGAGCAGTCCATTCTGAAATCTAAACTACCCCAACTGCCATGCAGGGATCAGAACTGTGTTTCAGCAAGAACTGAAAAGGAAAAGCTCAGAGGCAGCATAAATAGAATCAGATTGTCCTTAGCTTAATGGAGGAAGGACAATAAAACGTACAGAAAAGATGCCCAGCTTCAACCTAGGAGTTATTCAATTGTTCACATATGCAGATAAAATCAAAAAATTTGGATAAAGGTAAACGGTGGTAGAAGGAAGAGAGGATGGTTAAAAGGGATGCAGTGATTTTACCTAATATGCATGTTGTCTGAAAAATAGCTGAACTTGCTTTGAATGTGACCTTCTGGTAAACCTGACAAATTTCACTCTAAGGCTGGAGATTCAGAAGGGAACAAATGGCTGCAGTCCACAGTGGAACAAAGAAGCAACTTTACAAAGAAGCAGTAGGGAAGGGCATGGATCCTCTGGGTAAGTGCACACTTCTCTTGCTCTACTGGTTCACCAAAGTCTAACCCTAAAAATTTGTGGTGCTGCCTGCTTCATAGGTTCCTGCAAACGCCCTCTGGCCAACCAATGTGTGATAATTTTCTTCTACCCTATAGTAATCATATTATAGGGTAGAAGTATATTATGTATAATAATAACAGATGATTTCTGCCATTATGAATTAGAACTAGATGGAAAAATGGAACAGAATTAAGTTGCTCTCTGAAGACTTGAAAAACTGAATTCTAAGTCACAGTTTGAAAGGAAAAGAAGTAAATAATCTTGCTTTGATGATTTTAGAAAGAAAAGGTTTCAATTAATTTATTTCTTCATCAACACTGGCTCTTTTGAGTCCCCTGAAAGTCTTTTATTCATTCAAAAGAATTAAAAACTTTGTATTCTTGCTTAAGCTTGGTAAATTTTTGTTTCCTTTTGTTGTCCATACAAGATTTGCTTGCTAATGGCTTTCACTAACTCATCATCAGCTTCAACCATTAACTCTTTTCAAGCCATTTTTTTCATTCTTAATGTTGTACAAAAGCATAAAATACACCAGTGGCCAGAGTTTCTATTAGATGCCTGGAATATCAGTTCTTCCTGGTGAACAGTTATAGGATGCTCAAGGCCAGAAATGACTTCTGGAGGCTACCTGGTCCAATGCCTTGCTCAAAGAAGCTGAACTCAACACCTCACCCACCTGATTTTCTGCATTTCCCAAGGTAAGATTTCACAGCTACCCTGGGCCTCTGTTCCAATATTAGAACACCTTCATGGTGAAAGTGTTTTTCCTTGAAACCAGTCATAACATGTGTCATCTACAGGCCTTTCACAGTCCCTCCCCAACAATCACCTGGCTCCATATTCTCTATACCCTCCCACTCAGTGATTTAAAAGAGTCTAATGTCTTCTTAGCCTTCTCTTCCCAGGCTGAACAGTGTAGCTCCCTCAGCCTCTGCTCTCCAGACAAGTGTTTCTGCCCCAGTCATCTTGGTAGTCCCTGCAGTGTGCAATGGGGAGCCCAGGACAGGACACAGCACTGCAGACATGGTCTCTCTCGAAAAACCCAGGCCCATCTCATCCACAGACTGATAACATTCCACTGGCATTTCACACAGCAGCAGGTGAAGGTATTCAGTACCTTCCAGGCTCAGCTTTTTACTTGTGCATGCATCTGCTATGACAAGTGATGCTCAGATGCATGGCAGCAGCAGTTGTCAGCTTTCCAGGATTGTAGTTTTCTCAGTTTTAGAACTATCAGGCTGTCAGTGCCGTGGGCTGTTGACCTAATAGGATTGTCAGGAGATGTCCCCACTGAATCCTTCCCAATTGTTGTGACTTCCAAACACGTTCTTCTTTGGCTTCAGGATGCTTAACTGAGTTGCAGAACACTTCCCCAAATAACAAGGGTAACAACGACAGTAACAATAGCAGCAGAAGGAAAGAAACAAGTCATGCAATCAGTCAGGGAGAAAATGAGGACACTGAGGCTGGGAATTGGGGGGTAGGATGCTGCAACTGACAGGAAAGTAGATTGAATTTGAAAAGGTTTTTTAGATTTATACACATGAGGACTCAAGAGTACGCCCCTGGGGCTGCCTGTGTGTTCACCTTCCAATGATGGCTTTACCATCAGTGCATAAGAGACAATGCTTTTTGAAAATCAAGACAGCACATACACAAGAAGACCAGAGTTATCAGGACAGGTAGGATCAGGCTAAAAGAAAGAGACACATTTTTCTTAGACTGTCCATGAGTTAGAACTAGATGATCTTAAGGTCCTTTTCAACCCTAACTGTTCTATGATTCTATGACTTTATAAGTGCTAAGTGAATTTAGTTGTAAGCCAACATAATATAGGTACTAAAACAATGCAGACACAAATAGACTTGAGTAGGTAATTGTAAGCCAGATTTCAGTTTCTCCAGAAGACTGTAATCTCTGTGTGGCACAGGTGGAAGTATGGGAATTTCTGAGAATGGGATTTGGGGATTTTTTAAAGCCTTTTGCTTTCCAATTTTTAGCAGCTTGGCCCCTGCCTGAACAATGAAGGAAAAATGATGCTTTCAGAAGCTTTGCTTTCACACTGAGATATATCTCCCTCTAACAGCATGCTCTTGCTACGCATAAAGCCAGCAAACACCATGGTCATCACCATGGTCATCTGGAAGTAGGAGATCAGAGTTCTAACTGTGCTAGTGACTTGGGTTTAGACACTGAGTAAGTTACTTTACTCTGATCATGCTCTCTAGTTTTCTGTTACACTGTGTCTGCAACAGACATGTATTGGCTCCAAGCAGCAAAGCAGGTCTGGCTGGGATCTGTCTAGATGACTATAACGTAGATGAACATAGAGGTTCTACAGTTGCTCTGAGTTGGGTACTGCCTGTTTTACTTCCATACTTCAGTGTTTATCATGATGGAGAGGTTTCAACTACACACAAGCACTGAACTTCCCTTCTTTGCCCATTAGACCTTCATCTTCCAGCAGGGCCTTTCCCTGGAAGTTAAGGTAAAACCTCTCCACTAGCTGAAAATAGTTCTTAGTTTTTCACTGTCCATTTATACACTGGCCAGCATTCAGTGGGTTTCTTGACATTTTAGCAGGGCAGATGAAATTCCAATCATCTGACCCACATTTGTGCTCCTAAGTCCCAACTACCTCTTTGGTTACATCCCAAGTAATGAAATAAAGAGGACCGGAACAGCACAGGACTTGGGCTCCAGTGCTGCCTGTAGCATATACGTTCACTTCTCTGCATAGTGTCCTGCACTTCTGTAGACAATGGTCAGGCTAATTCAGGGAATGCAATTCTCTGGAGGCAGTTTGGGTGTGGATTTGTTTTTTGGAAAAGAGAATTTAGCTACAGATAGATACATCATCTGCAGTGTGCAACCTTTCCCCACAGCCACCTTGCTAATAGAGATATAGCCTTCCATATTTCACCTGGCTTGAAATGTATCCTTAAAGCAGCTGCCAATATGCCCCATTCTAGGAATGCTACTGCCTGATTTTGACAGCCATAAAAGCTTTCCCCATGAAGGAAAACAGGGCTTCTTATCACTTTTATCTGGGAGACAAAGCCATCTTCAAGAATGACTTGTAAATCTATATTGCACAAGACACGAATGACCAGTGCACTTTCCATAGACATTTTGCTCTCACATCCTTTAAGGATGTCTGAATAAAACCTTTCATCTTTCTATGAGACCTGTTCTGTCATAAAATGTCACAGAAAGAAGATCTTGAAAGGAAGGCAGTATGCAAACTAAAAATATAAGTATTGCTTATAATTATAAGCATGTGGATTTTCATTTTAATTCCTGGGCCTTTCATAAGAAAAGGTGGTGGGAGGGAGGATTGGCACATAACATAGTACAAGAAAGATATGAATAACAGAATCCCAGGTTGGAAGGGACCTCAAGGATCATCCCACCCAACCTTTCTAGGCAAAGCATGACCTCCCAGCACCCCATTCAGCTGCGTCTTAGAAGTGCCCGACGTTTGAGAATCCACCACTTCCCTGTGGAGATTATTCCAATGGCTCATGGTTCTCACTGTGGAAAATTTCCCGCATTTCCAATCAGCATCTCACCAGGAGTAACTTGGGCCCATTACCTCTCATCTTTTCCATGTGACTCCTTGTAAAAGGGAGTCTTCATCTTTGTAGCCACCATTTAGATAGTGGAACATGGGGATAAGGTCTCTTCTGAGCCTTCTTTTTTCAATGTTGAACAAACCCAGCCCTCTCAGACCTTCCTCACACACCTGCCGAGTCCTTGGATCACATTTGTGGCTGACTTTGCATCCGATCTTGTTCACCAAGTTTCACTGTTCTACTTACAGAGGCAAAAGGGAAGATCCTGGCCTAGGGAATCAAACATCAACAGCAAAACCCATTTACTAGAGAGGGAACTTCCTTTTTGTTTTTCACTTTCTCTCCATGCTTTTTTCTTAATAAAACATCAGACAATAAAAGCACAATAAACACAGAACCACATTAATAATATTCCTCCATCTCAGAAAATTATGTTCTTCAAGCAATTTTGGATTCCCACCTGTCTTTATGATGATATACTGAATGGCTGGTTTGGGCTGAATCTATTGTACAAGCTATTAAAAAGCCCACAAATCCAGATCACATCTTAAAATATGCATTTACCACAGGAACTTCAACAAGACTAAGGGGAAAAAATCTCTTCTTCTTTCTCTTAATCTATCTCAAAGTCTTTACTGACATGCACTTTCTTTTCTCCACTGACTTTACTGACAGGCAATTTTGACAGGTTCTCTTTTTTACCAGCTTTCAATATTTCATGACAGTTGTCAAGCCAGCATTGACACAGTGATAGGATTTGATATGACCACCAATACTTTAAAGTAAACTTTCTTTTGGAACTGATAGCTGCTATCATTTTAAACAGATATGCAGTCCTGATGTATTATACATTCTGTGTATAGGAGCCGAACATGATGAGGTTACTGAAACCTTTGTTTTGTTTTTGGACTTTTCCTCAAGAAAGCAATTGTCCTTTTCATTCTTTCCTATGTATTTACTTATGTATTTCCCCAGTGATACTGTAGTAATACAGATCATAGAACAGCTTGGGTTGGAAAGGAGCTTAAAGATCAGCTAGTTCCAACTCCTAGCCATGGTCAGGTATTCCAGCATGACACTGAGGTGACAAAGAAAGATTTCCACAGTAGCTGGACCTCAGGGCAGACATGGTAGAAGCTATCATCCGTGAACTGCAGTGTCTTATAGCTCCTGGCCCTCATGGCCTGGTCCTCCTGGCACACAAGATCTGGGAACTCTAAATGGCAAAACACTGCAGACCCTATCTGAGAGGCCAGATTACCCAGTACTGGCCAAATTTCCATTGCCTCATTTGATGTTCCTTTTCAGACAGAAAACCACATTCTGGCACTCACCCATGGGAAGTTTGCTTACTCCCCTACATAGCCTCATTTGATAAATGAAAACATGGTATTTGAGATGCATCTGCCCAAAGTCAAAAAGAAAGTCTGTGATGGAACAGAGAACCAAAACGAAGACCTTCAAGACATCCTTTAGGGACAAAGGTAAGACATGGGATCTCCAAGGACAGGGCAGTCCTGAGACATCCCTCTTACAAATCCTTTAACAGTATAGTGCTGTGATCACTTCCCTGGTGAGCCTGTTCCAGGAACCCACCACTCTCTCAGTGAAGAACCTTTTCCACATGTCGCATCTGAACTTCCCCATCACAGCTTCATTCTGTTTCCTCATGTCCCATCCCTGCTCACCAGAGAGAGGAGATTAACACCTCACTCTCATGCCCCCCTTGAGGAAGGTGTAGACTGCAATGGGGTCACCCCTCAGCCTTCTCTTCTCCAAGCTCAACAGCCCAAGTGACCTCAACTGATCCACCTATGTCCTGCCCTCAAGGCCTTTCACTGTCTTGGTGACCCTCCTCTGGACACCCTCTAATAGTGTGATGTCCTTATCATGAAGCACCCACACTGCAGATAATACTTGAGGTGCGGTGTCTATCTTGTACTACGGAACACATTTTCTGCAGTCAGACTATGGGCTGATGAACATTCCTAGTGGTAACAGTTAGGATTATTTGATGCAGTATGTCTGACACTCTGACACTACAGTTCTGCATTGTCCATACTAGCAGATAAACAACTTTCATACATATGATTCAAAATGTTAACGTCTAAAAACAGCACCCTGAGACCTAATTCTCCCCTTACACTCAGTGATGTACAGGGCAAATTCTTTCACTTTCTTCCACAAGACCAATATACATCAGGGTGTACTAAAAGACTACTAACAAATAGCTCTTGCCACCTTTTCATAGGTCTTAAAATACTTTGTTCATATTTTTTAAGGTGCTCTAGCACATCAGCTCCAGCAAACAAGATTTGCAACTTGGAAAACAGTGGCCTCTGGAGAAAACATTGTCTTTTAAGAAAGTAAAAAGCTGTTTCCAGCAAGCCATTATTACCTTGTTCCTACTGAATGCAACATTAGGGAGCTGTCTGAATATTAGCTCTACAGTTACTAATAATAACTAGATTCCATTTAAGACTCTTACACAGCAGACTTGACAATAACCATGCTATTACTGCACATCAACACATCTCTACGGCAATACCTTCTGTTTGGGTACCAGAGCTCCTCCTCTTGTTTAATGCATCCTACCTCAGATTGCTTTCATAAAATAAGGAAAATGCAATTATGCCCATTTTATATGTAGAAGTTGAACACAGAAATACTGCAATGACTTACGTGCAAAGTCTGTGCCACAGATAATGAATTACACTCCAGAATCTAAACTACAGCACTACTGTAATTTCCTTCCGTCTTCCATTAAACTACATTTGCTTAAGCCAGTGTAGCAGCAGATCCCCTATGCACAAGAGTAGTGTTGCATTAAAGTCTTTCCCTCTTTGCTAGTCACAGACTAACAGAGAAAGTGGAATGGCAGGCTCAGACAGGTAGGAATCACTTGAGCTACCTTGAGCAATCTGTACTATAGATATCTGCTATGTCTGATCATGACAGTGCCATTTGAGATATCCTGGATACCCCCTCTGTCTTTTTGCAGATGGTCTTGAAGGCTGTCAGCCCATGAAAGTACTGTCTCATTTCAGATGTCCTTCAGACACCTGAAGCCATCTCAGGTGGCGCTAGAAGCCTGTTCATAAGCAACTGTATCAAGCTCTATCTATCTTGAATCCAGCCAGCCTCGTCGAGTTCAGCTGGTGCAGAGTCATACAAGGAAACAATGACCATCTTCCACATTTGGCTAGCCCTCTCTTTTAAAGCCATATTCACTGCCCTCTCTTTGCATGGTCAGCAATTTTGTACTACAATAATCTTTTAATGGTCCTCCTTCCATGGGTATAAAAGTGTAATCCCCAGCAACCTGAAAACCAAAATCATTTCTATGATTTTATGAGGTGCCTGTTTGGAGGAGGTCAGGAGAAGCAGCTCTCAAGTTTATTATTAGCAACTGGAAATTTTCAGCTACTTTACTACTTTTTGCAGTTCTTAAGTTTAAGGCATCTGCTTAGGGAGGAAGGTAGCTGTATGAATTATAACCTGACTTTAAGCTTAAGTACACAATGTGAGTCACTTGATTGATGGCCCATTTGATCAGCTGTGCAGTCAGGGTCCTTCCTCTGCTGAAAACTTGATTACATGGCCATACCACAGCAGATATTACAGCATCCTAGGCTGGCAGGAGGATTCAGGGTCAGTAGTTGTATTATAATACAGCTGGCACCCTGCCTATCTATCCCCCTCCCTCTGCCTTTCACTGTTCATGTAAGAGATCCAGTTGTGGGGGTCTTTCTTCTGTCCTCCATCCTTTTTCTATTGAATTAAGCAAGGCATTTAACATGGTCTCCCCATAGTGTTCTTATAGCCAAATGGATATGCTATGGGCTAGGTAAGGGATGCAAATTTTCAGTGCATCCTGTACTGACACAGCCCAAAACAGTGATGATCCCTGCTGTGAAGTCCAAGTGTCAACCAGTGACTACTGGCTTTCCTCAGGGATCTGGATGGTTAGGTTATCTATTCAGAATGTAATTACTGTATCCCATTCCTATCCTACCCTATTCACTATATAAATAGCTCTCCTTGAAGGACTGGAATTTCTGTTTAGCAACAGATCTCCAACTCAGACTTGACATCACAGCATCTTAAAAATGACAACTTTAAGCTGTATGTCTTGAGCAACAAGATCTAAAACTTGATGTCCTTCCACTGCTCTCAGTTTATATCAGCTTCAGGACTTCTTTAGACTTCTTTTGATCTATTTACCAAAGCAATCCAATGCATTTTGGACTGTCTCTGCATTTGTTTCATTTTGCTTTTTACTTTCATCTTTATAGCATCAAGGACATTATTTCCAGGTTTATTCTTGATGTATACCCAAACTATTAGAGACATCACTCTATAACACCATTATGCCTTATCCTAGTGTTTTCCTTATTCTGTCTTCTCTGCAGTCTTGAAACTCTCTGCATACCTTCAGCCAACTTGCTTTTAAGTCAGTCTGTTTTATCATCAAGTTTTGCTGTTCTCCACCACTGCTATCCGTATACCAATGTTATGTTCTCATTAGTCCATATATGCTGATTTCATGGTTATTCCTGCACATACAGTGAAGCAATATTCAGGAAAGAACAGAAATCACTTGATGCATTAGATTTAGGGGTGAAGGAGGTTCAAAGTACTGTGGGAGGTTAGTTATCAAGAACAACCGCCTGGGAGCAAGAACCTAGAGCAAAGAATGCTTTCATATTTTATACAGAAAAAATGTACCATGAAAATGAACAGTTTGCAAACCACATCACATCCCTCCCCCTCTCAATTTCCCACCAGTGATTTTCCCCCTCCCTTTGACAGCAAAGATGTTCTCTACTTTAATGGTACCTGTCTGGTAAAATTACTCCTGAACTGGGTAGAGCTCCTCAGGTTCGACAGGGGACTGGAGTTTGTCACTACCATATTCCCTTCTCTGCTCTTCCAACACAGACAGGGACAGATCATATCTACAGAGACCGGATACCTGACCACCAGCCTAAGATGTGTTTCATTGATCGATCTCCCAGTCACTGATGTTTGTTTTGGTGTTTAAGCTCGATATTATGTAAACCAAATATTATATAACCATTGTTATTTCTATACAATATATGTACAATATACACAGTATATTATATGCAATTTGTTATGAGTGCCTCAGATACCGTGTTCTATGTCTATGGTGTGTGTTACATGAAATTCATAGCAATTTATATGCAGACACTACAGAAAGTGTTTTTTATAGTTATCCATAAATGTGTTTATGAAGTTGGTTATTACATAAACCCACCAGCAACAGCTTCTTGAGGAACCCAGTTCTGTCACAATATGTTAGCGAAGATCTGGAACACTGTACAGAGCTCCTTGGGAGACATCAGTCTCGTGCTTCCTGACTGCATTTAGAAAAGTGGTAGGGGCTCAGAGGTGGCTGCTCTGGGCCTGAGGAGATCTGAAAAGTCAGAGTTCAAATGTCAGAAGCCTTCAATGGTGCCTGAAAAAGAGTTGTGGGAGTGTGATTTTGGAGCTAGACACATCAGCCTCACTTAAGACTTTGCACTACTTGTCTGCATCTTGTCTGCATCCATGCTCAGATCAAGCCCCCCCAGCCTGGGGAGCTGATGGGTACCTTTATTCCTTAATCTTTCACTGATACACTATTTCCAGGTTTGGTCCCATGGTTTCTTTTCAGGCTGCATTTCCCAGCCACTCTAGTACTGAATAGACATGTCGTGAGTCAAAGCTCAGCTAGCAGTTGCCTGATGTCACTGGATGGAGTATCTATCTCCAGAAATAAAGTTCTATTGCTTCATCCCAAGCCTCTATGTAACCACTGGAATTTATCCCACTTGCTATTGCAGAACAGGGAGGGATGAGTAACAGGAAAACAATATAATAGATTATTGCTCCTTGGGGCAATTTGTCACAAACAGTTGGGAAGGTTGTGATCCACATTCACTCCTGCGAGATCACAGCATGGGAGGGGACAAGAGGCAGCGATTTCTGGCATGAGGAGCAGGGAAAGGGTGCAAAGAGCAGGATAAGCAATTCTCAGAAGCTCTTTGGAAAAATATAAACAATCTGGTAAGAGGGAGGAGGTGTGGGAGCTGAGCAGAAGCAAATTAAAAGGATAATTAGAAGAGGGGAGAAAAAAAAGGAGTTGATGAGTACATTTTAGTTGGTGAAGCCAGGGATTTCAGATGTATTCACAGCAGACAGATGGTAAAAGAAGAGGGGGAAAAACACCAACCAACAGCACACCCTATAATCAGTTCCTTAGCATGGATATTAGGGGAATTTAGTTAAGGATAGGGAATAAGGACTTGGCAGCCTTAATACACAATTATTTTGCTATGTATCTTTGCAACAGTGGGAGAGGGATCAGAGCAACCAGAGGCAAAATCCACAGCCCTGGTTTGCTGTTGGGTGTGAGCTGGAGCAGTCTAATCCTCACTGTCCACCTATACTGGTATTTCAATTGTAGATTTCTCATTTCCCTTTGTTAGTGGTTGGAACTCCCTTTTTTCTTGGACACAAATATCTCTGGGTTTAATGCCTGGAAGTTTAATTAATGAACATATGAGTTATAGAATCATACATGGTTTGGGTTGGAAAGGACCTTAAGATCATCTGGTTCTAACTCCCCTGCTGTTGGTAGGGATGTCTCACACTAAACCCTGTCACACAAGTCTCTGTCCTTTTGCCATACCAATACCTCTATGTCTATGATGTATGTTACATGAAAGTCATAGCAATTTATATGCTATGGAAGAACACTGAAAAATAAGCCAAATGCCCCATATCCCCATTCTCTGATAACATCAAATAACAGAAGCTGCAATAAGAAAAACAGTAAAAAAGAAAAACCATCTCCCCAGCATGCTGAAGAAAGTACATGTCTCCCCAGTGCAACAGGGTAAAGGACCTGGATTTACAAGCAGCTCTGATCATACTACACCTTCATGGCATGGAGCAGAGACCAATGAAGTGAATTTCTTTGGCTCAACACCACAAATGCCATTGTCTTACTCTGGATGCATAAATAGCCCATACAAAACAGCCTGGAGATCTCTACACAGTACAGTCCAGAGACTTGGATCAACATCTTAACCCTCTGAGGCTAGGTGGGGTGTCAGTTTAATGGAATAATGGAATGGTTTAGGTTGGAAAGGACCTTATGATCATCCAGGTCCAACCCCGTGCCATGGGCAGGGACATCTCACACAATCTGAGTTCCTTCTTTTTTGTAGTGGCTGAACAGAGATACTTCATATACTATCAGCTTTCTTGAGTTAGGTAGGTACTTCAGGAGGTAACTCAGTTTAGTCTAGACCTGTCTGGTCTAAAACTGGGCTCAACCAAGATGGAAGAGTCCTCCTGCAGGAAGATACCTCGAAAATATGAAACACCTCATTAAAAAATCCAGTTTCCTCCAAAATTACAAGCAGAACTCCCACTGATTCAATTAAAAGAAGACTCACAGTGCTTATAGCCCCCAAACCTACTAATACATAAGGACACCTGACTCATGAGGACAGTGACCAGAGGCAAGCTGTTCACACACTTTCTTATTCACGGAATCATGACAATGGAAACGAAAGACAAATCCAAATTGATTTTAAATATAAAAGGATTCTTATGGAAGGCTAAAAATTTTGGATAAGTTTGTGGATTTTAAAAACACTGAATATTTTCATTGCCTTGCTAACTGGGGAGGTTTACGACAGAGGTATTACTCAAAGGAGTAAAGGGCTTGGGACTTTTAACATTTCCTTTCAAAGTGAAATGGAAATTAAATAGGAATGAAAGAAAAAAACAAACACAAAACCACCACCACAACCTTTGTGTTTCCTCAGGGTGGTCTCCCTTATGAAGATTTGATTTTTACATGTTGTAATATGCACATTATCATAGAATCATAGAATGGTTTGGGTTGGAAAAGACTTTAAATTCATCCAGTTCCAACATCCTGCCATGGGCAGTGACGCCTCACACTAGACCGTGTCACCCAAGGCTCTGTCCAGCCTGGGCTTGAACACTGCCAGGGATGGAGCATTCACCACTTCCTTGGGCAACCTGTTCCAGTGCCTCAGCAACCTCACAGTAAAGAACTTCTTCCTTATATCTAACTTCCCCTGTTTAAGTTTAAACCCATCACTCTTTGTCCTACCACTACAGTCACTGTTGAAGCCCCTCTCAAGCATCCTTGTAGCCCCCCGTTCCAATAGTGGAAGGCTGGTTGGAATCACACTGTGTTTTGAGTGGATCGGTTTGTTGCTGCAATCTTTATTAAAAAAATTAGGATTTTCCTAGATGTGTATGTCCCACCTGGCCGTGACATCAGGAGTGAATTATCCATCCTAACCATGGATCTCTCACATTTCCCCTCACTCCATGCTGCTCATGAGCTGTGAGTCTCTGGACATGGTCATGGCTACAAGACCACCAACTCCAGGAGAGGGCTGCAACCTTCTCTGCCCTGGCCAGGGGGCAAGTGGAGACCAGGTAGACTCACCTTCTCCACGGTCTTTGCAGACAAAGTCCATGCTGTGCAATAGCTTTCATAGAAAATCTGAGAGGAGCTCCCAGCCTCCCTGCTCCCTCCAGGCCACGAGCACCTGTCATACAGTGAGCTCCATTAGACTCCATCATAGGAAGTTTCCTGCAACAGGTTTGACGTATTTTTCCCCCAGCCGCCTCTTCTCCCAGCTGCCCCAAATCCCTTTCTGTGCTGCCCAAAGTAGGGAATAAAATAACCTGGAGGACCTGACACAGAAAGAAATGTCAGGATACGGTGGATAACACTGTATTAACTGTTTATTCAGTTCCTTTCAGAAGGATTTCTGAAGAATAAAAGCCTCCGCTTCCCCCTGGCACCAGGCTTGGCTTTGCAACAGCCTATTTCCATATTTCCATCTTGAAGGGTGTGACTCCTTGATAGATCAGAACTTACATCACTTCATCTCCCACTTAACTGATTTGATGAGGAAAATGGAACTGCTATGGTGGCAATTTAAGTGTATTAAAGAAAAAAAGAGCTAATGCAAAATTTTGATTCACCAAATTTAAAGTCCATTTCCATTACATTTAATAAGTTCAGCCTCTCTTAGTTCATCTGTACTTATCTTTAAGTCTGCATGGCTGGGTGGCATTAGAAATAAGATTATTCATAGTAGGGTGCTCTGCATATGAACTTTTCCTTAGCTCTCAGTCTTTGCTCAACTGTAGATCATTTCATAATCACATGAGTGGTCGGCTTTTCTGCTCTTGTAAAATCAAATCTCACACCATCAGCTGGAGACCTTTCAGCAAATAGAAAGAAGGGTATAATTAATTCAAACAGAGTAATCATTAAAGTATGAGGCTAGTCTGACGCATGCTTTTTTATTTCCCTCCAAGCATACACGAATTATGGGATCCAAATCACAGCCCTTGCAAGTGACTAGTTCATGCATTTGTGTAGGGAGAAGGGAGGGAACTTGCTACATGAATTCTCACCCTTTCACTGTAAATCCATGCACAAGCTATTAGGGTCTTAAGGCCTGAATCGTGATGTAGTACACCACATCAAGGAGAAGTAGGCGAGGAAGTAAGCTCAAGGAAAAAGCTCTCTAAGGATTGACATTAACATGATGGGGAGGAGTATGTTAAAAAGCTGCCTCTGGGGTGGCAGCAGGTGCTTAAATTCTGAAAGATACAAGGAGCGATTTGGGATGGAGAAAATTGAAAGGAAAAGCTTCCATACACTTGCAGCAGCAGCAGCTGGTGCTTCCCTGTGTGTGGAGTCAAGGAGAGGGAGCAAAGCCCTTGGAGCCAGCATGGGAACAGGCACTGCTGGTATTTGCAGCAGACGTTCCTTAGCAACAACTTGGAGCAGATGGAGCTGGGTACCACTGAGAGAGACTCAGCAGCAGCCCCTAATCTCCCACAGCCTCTGCCCTGCGCACGGGGAGGTAAGACAACACAGCAAGGTCTACCAGAGAGCTTTTCTCCAGACAAAGATCACCTCTGCTTGTGCCAAATTGGAGACCAAAGCAACATGAACAATTTAAACCAGTTTGATAAGTACCAACAATACCGTTATAATGACATAGTAGTGATAAGTAATTACAGAAGTGTTACACATGCATATTCTTTTATTATGGCTGAGTAACTTGGATTTCTAGGGATGCTGAGAAATTTTGGAACATGCCTATGACTGAAAATATCTTAAGGTTATCCCGAACCACACTTCTGGGAGAAAAAAGAGGGGGAAAAACCAGGGAAGATTCCAGGTCTTAATCTGCATTTGAGGTAAAATGTAAGGTGATGGATGATCCACAGTTAAAAAGGTTATTTGAAAATGGACAGTTCACAGATGCAGAGGATTTCAGGGAAAAATCTGCATTGGCAGATGGATCTATCACCAAATTCAAGAAAACAGGAACTTTCCGTGGGTTAACTCATTAATCTTGTACATGGAGAATGTGAAGAATCATCAGGTTAAGCATAGCTAACAGCAGAGGTGGAGCCTTCTGCAGACAGTGTCCATAAGCCTGTAACAGATACCACTAAGTTACACAGACAACCCTTTTTTTCTTCAAGATCAGGTATGCAGAACTGAGCGATTGGATCTCCTGCATTATGTTATGGAATATGCAAATATTATCTTATTATCATTAAAGGAAAATAAATTCTGCCTGCCTGCGTTTGATTTGGCAACATGCCTTTGAGACGTGGTTGTCATCTGTATGCAGAAGCAAGTAATAATAGTACAAAGGCCATAAAACTTCATGGTCAATAAAGAGCCATAATTGTCTCTAGGGGGAAGGACAAAAACTTTCTCTTCAGAGTTGGCACATAATAAGTGGTGGATTTCTTCCACCTTCTCAGTGGCAGGATGTTGTCTGAAACAAATCCATGGTCAAACTAGGATTATATCACCCAGATTTGTACCCTAAATGCCCCATTTCTATTAATAACACCATTGCTGAAACCCCGATAGATTAATTGATTTATCTTGGTTGATTACCTTGATAAATCAGGACCTAGGTGAACATCTTCAAAGACACAGGAATAGCTCTGTAGCCAGTAAAAGCAGATAAACACTTGATTATGTATTCTGGTGGGTCAAGCTCACCCATATGGAATCTCATCTCCTGTGTCTCCATTTCCCTTCTGCTAATCTAACCTCTTAGCAACATTTTAGCAATTCCTGTGGGTGATACAAGCAGTGAATAGAAATTGGAAAACTACAGATGAGTTTGAATATACTTCCATTAAAGCCAATGGATGCTTTATCCCATTAACGTCAAGGACTCTAGTCTGAGTGATAATGGTGTTCAATATTACTTATTTGGCAATGTCTGGCCAAAAGAACAACTCCTTTCTTTCTGTAGATGTACAGATCAAAAGAGTGTAACCAAAAGAAGGCTGAATTTTCTTTCTTATCAGAATTTGCTGATTAGCCAAAATGGTCCAATTTTGAGAAGATGATTGGGTTTAAGCCTACCAGTTTGCCTATTTAAAACCTTTCAGTCCATTGATCATCCAACAGCTTACCAGAGTTTCTGATGACTCCCAGTTTTGTGACAGCTCCAAACAGGGCAAGATGAGAGCACAGAGCCACTTTGTGGATCCTCAAGAGCCAAAACTCCCTGTCTGCTAACTAGTGCAGACCACTGTGCACTCAGGGTCTCACAGGTTTCCACAGCTCCTGCTCTCCAGCGCCAGTTAGGGCCCAATGCCTTTTCACAGATAATTTTCAACTGTTATTTTTCCTCTGAGAAGCAATAAAATTAAATTTCAAAGTATCAAATTGTATATGAAAGAATTCCCCACCAAGACTCCTTCATCCAAAACCGCTCACAGGACGAATTACACTTCTCAGCTAGAAGGGCAGAAACCTTTAGCCAAAAGGTACTAGTCATACACTAGTCAAATGTAAGCCCACGTACAGATCTTGCAACACCTTTAAGCTGACTCTGCTGTATTAATGTGTACCTGCAACAACTTCCCTACAGTACTGCAAACCAGCAGCGTTAGCATCTCATAAGATACTGTTCCTTAATGTGAAGAAAGTTTGATTCAAATTGATGCAGGAGTGTCCATGTAGGAATTTGCAGTAGTTTCATTATGTTGATCAATACTGTGTCTTCACTTAAACAACAGCTACAAGTACTGCCAACGGGCAGGTAAGGTAAAATAAGGCAAAAAAACAGTAGCATTATTGCTGTCATTATTTTAGCAATGTGGCTGCAATCTTTCTCTAATCACTAGCAGCAATTATAGCTTACCATCTTCTTGCTATTATCAGGCAACTGTTCTCAATGTGGTAATGGCATGGACTGAGGTTAGTGAGCGAGGCCCATATAGAATTGTAGAATGGGTTGGGTTCGAAAGGACCTTAAGATCACACAGTTCCAATCCCCTGCCATGGGCACGGACATCTCACACTAAACCATCTCACCCAAGGCTCTGTCCAACCTAGCCTTGAACACTGCCAGTGATGGAGCATTTACCATGTCCTTGGGCAACCTGTTCTAGTGCCTCACCACCCTCACAGTAAAGAACTTCTTCCTTATGTCTAGCCTGAACTTCCCCTGTTACAATATCCCTGCCTCAGCTGCCAGCATGTCCATTTCCCTTTTGTTTCATGAGGTCATTTCAAATAGCTTCTCCCACACCTTTTCACACCCACAGCGCCAAAGCCACTCCTGACATTTCCAAGAAGAGAATACACAGTTTTGTATTCTTTATCATTTTCTCCTCCATCAGGGCCGATTCCTTTAACTGGCAGGAGAGCCAATGTCATGTTTCATAGAATACACCCTTCTTTATGCAAAGCATTAGCTAGAATGAAATTTCAACACTGATCCTGAGAAAAGGACATTGCAAATTGTCTTTCTGACGAGATAAATCCAGTGTAGCATGAAGAAAAAAATTTCCAGTGCATTTCCCATTCTGATTATGTATCTACTTGGAAATCCAGAGAGATTGTTTAAATCACCCATCTACTGGGTTCAATGCCATGGAAATTGCAAAGAAGTTTTGCTTTGCAGGGCCTCCTGTACTGTGCCTTGTTGAACAAATCTGAATGTGTCTATATACAGAGCAGAGAAATTTGATTGTGACACTTCTCTGTGTAGATTGTGTTACTTCTCATCCTAAACTGGCTTTTCCAGGCTTCAGTTCAGTAGGTTGTGTCACCTGACTCCAGAATAACTTTTGAAACAGATTGGGTCTTTCTTTACTTCTATAGTAAATCTGTTCTGTTTGGGGGTTTGGGTTTTGGTTTGGGTTTTTCATTAAAGGATTCATAGGATCTTTTTTATAAAGGATCCACATCTTGTAGTATTTACTATAGTCATATTGTGCAAGTATTTTTTCAAGTATATACTTCTGTTTTTCACTCATACAAGTATAACATGGGAAACAACTGCTTACTTCGCTTTGTGAAGATTCATCCTTATCTAGAAATTCCACTGTTCTGGCTACTCCCTAAAGAGGAAATTCCCCTCACAATGATACAAGCACCAAATAGCAAGTGATGCATTTCTGGTGCAATCACCGTCACTGTCACCAAGCATACAGATGGTGACCTGTGTGACAGGAAAAATCTTGGTGCAGATTTCTCTGACAAACCTATGGCTTCCACAT